CTTTTAGTGGCGTACCGGCATTAGACATTCCTCAGCATAACAACAATTAAGGCTAATTTATACTCTGAAACCAGGTCGTCTATGTGTGTCACAGCGAATGCAAATATGCCCCCACCCCTGCCTCAGACACTCTGGTGCACCTCTCGAAAATTATAGGTGACCACAGAAAGTAGGCATCTGATTGGTCAAAACCACATTCGCGGTACACTATTTGGTACCTTACAGGCTTGTTTTGTTTGTATGATCGCCATTGTGCAAAACGACTCGTAAAGATGGACCAGCTAGAAGAGCGAGGTGCACTAGAACGCTTGGACCCTTTTTCCACCTGTATCCCCGCTCTTTTTCACGCTCATGTCCCTCTTTTTTCACACAAACTTACTCCTGCTTCCTCACCGCCTCGGCCTTATCTAGATCCACAGCTGGTTCCTGATTGTCCCTCTTGCGTTGTTGCGTGGAATAACATAGCGTAGACCACGCTTCAATATTGGGCATAAATCCAAAATATCTGTGACAAGCTCACTGCGACACACTGCTGTGGGAGTATAACCAGCCCTTGAGTCTGAAATATAAAAATCCAATAATGGGATGCAAGACTGTGGACTGGTCCAAGACCTTAAAAATGCATTAGTAGTTCACTAGCCACTCATTGCAACCAATGTGGAAGGAATATTTATCTGAACAAAAACAAAGGTCAAACACTGAAGCAGACGAACACACCAGGTGCCTCTTATTTCAGCTAAGATAGGGAAACTGAGGACACAATGAAAGAATTTAAGAAGGTGTTGTTTGGTATGTTGAGTTTTAATTTCAACTGGAACCTATAGGCGGTGTTAGGATTTAGAAATTGTTGTTGGTATAATGATATGGTGGATATTTTCCCTCCAAAGTCACCAGATCTTTTGATTTTTTTTTTATTTATTTTTTTTTTGGGGGGGGGGTTATCTTGACGTTCACAGATATGCTGTAACTCCTTGATGCCTTCATTTAAATATATAGAGCATAGTGTCTTAGAAATGGGTGTACCTTGCCATAAAAACGTAAGGCATTCCTAATAGCCAACGGGTTAAACTATCTTGTACAAGCTAATGGGTACTTTAGAAATGGCCAGTGAGTACCTATTTCAATAAATGACAGCCAGCCCACCAACTTATCCAATAATTCAAAATTGTTTTCATGATGATTACTTCAATTTAATGGCAGAACAAGCCTAATGCTTAACGCCATTGCTCAATGTTGCAGAGCATGGCAGTGTTACAGAGAGTCAGGATGTCCTTGGTGTATTGTTCCATTTCCAATTACTTTGTTGTGAGTTATTTTTTTTCGTTCTGGGGCAGTTGCTGTTTTCTCCTTGGATATTTGTTGCCATTGACGTCATGAGCGAAGAGTCTTCATGCTGCCACGGTAACCAGCTGCAGGTTACTGTATCGTGCTGAAATGAGAAAAAACCAGGGAGTCATTACGTGTCTCAATGACTTGTTTCTCTACATGAGAAGCCTTGATTTACTCCTCTTCGAAAATACATCAATGCACCTGTCAGTGCTTCACACAAGCATCGGTGGGTTTGATTAAGTCGCTTTTAGTCTCAAACGGCATATAGAACGTCTTGCTAAGAAGAATCTGTTAAGAGGTCAGGAAACAAGGAAAAGTTTATAATTAAGAAGTCCTTCTGACTGTTGGAGTTTAACTTTGTTTTTGTTTTTTGAATAACATGTAGCTGTGGGATATTTCCCTCTTTTTTCCTCAGTTCCTCTTTGCATCTCGATTAGCCTCGATTTGAAGCTTTTCTGGTCTGTGATCAAGCTCCAGGATTAATCCAAATCAAATAATTGAGTGCTACACCACCTATTCTGTCAGAAAATCATTAAAAAGTGGCCCTTTTTTAATTCTCAGCTTCTTCCTCTGAACTTCTTTCCAGATTAAAGACTTTAAGATGTTCTCCTTTGAACTTGATGAAAGCAGTGACATTGTTCCAGAGGTGGCTGGCTATACTGTGAGGTGGTACTGCAAACATTTGATTTAGAGGGCAGGTTTTGAAGTGAAAATAGGGCTGCCGCCACAGGAACCACGCGGGAGTATGCATTTTTGCTTGAGAGTGCTCAGTGACTGAATGGTGTCCGTTTCCCCCCACCTTTTCTCTTATATAAATGATTCATTGTGTAAAATAATTTTTTTTGGCTCTGAGCCCTAAATTGATATGAAGCCTGCTTTAATCCAGCAAACCACAGCACACTATGGCATTAAGGTTGCATGAGGATCAGAGCTGTCACTAGAGCACCATAAGTTCCCTTTGAACATTTCATTAAAGCGCTATAATTTAAGCATAAAAATCCTACATCTTTTGGCAGTCTATTAGAATTTCTATGTGGATGCTGAATTGTGTTTAAAGTTAATCAAAGGGAGAAGAAAAGTACCCAGCAGTCAGAATTAGTCATCAACTGGTATGTTGGTTGCTCTGTTTACACTTGTCCCTTGTCTTTTTGCATCCAGGGTCTTCTCTCTGATTACCACATTAACAGAATCTTCATAAAATACCTCCCAACAGTTAGCTTTAAGAGTTTGCCATCTGTCTCTAATGTAGCTGTGCCAGAATCCTTGAAAGAGTTCTCCAAGCATTTACGACGAAATTAAATACTCTTTGCATATTTTTTTCAAATAAAACAGGATGTTAAATGAAAACATAATAAAAGCTGTTTACTCATCCTATTTAATTGTCACAATGAGCTCATTTTTGACTATTATAGCAGTAGCAGGTGTTCAATTGATGTATGATAGACACTGTAAACTTTCATTGTATAGACACAATAAACAAGGCGTTAAAAATCCATTCCAAATAAAGATTAGGATTGCTATGAGTGTTGTGTTAAAAGAGGGATATAAAAATTCTAAAATAGCAAATGATTACACCTCCTGTCGACAGGTTCAAGGCCACTACCAGTAACAAGTATAACAAGCGCTAAAGTATGTCAATATGCTATTGCAGTGGCTTCATTCAGTTCCAAAATAACTAGAAAAAAATCTTTATTTCAGAAAAATTTGAGTTCAGAAAACTTTCCGGCACACCTGCCCAAAACCTATTTTACCAATAGACGGGATTTACACTGTTCATGTACCATCTAACAAGTTTGGCATACAGAGAAAGGTATCTTCTTCCTCAGTTTTATAATTGAAATCAAGTTTTAAACCGTGTTTTTAGAATCTGAATATTTAATTATTTGATTTTTAACTCCTACAGAATCTGGCACAGATAGGGTTCTTGGAAAGTTTTTGCTTTGAGGTCAGTTGCCGTTGCCAAAATAATCTCCTGGATGCCAGAATAATGGGTGAGAAATGTTTTAGCTATTTTTTTATTATCCTCCAAAATTCAGGAATTTATATACACCAAGATTACCATGCCTTTAAAAACACTGGAAAGTGAGGATGATGATGTCATTGCTTTTTCAGCTTTCAATAGGATGATTGGAAAAATATAAGCTAATTGGAGGAACTTTTTTTGATGTTTTTTAAGGGAACACCTCTAACAAGAAGAAGCAAAAGATATTGGTTTACTCCCATAAGACTGGTTCACCTTTCAGTAAAGTTTCCAGATGCCCGAATGTTCACAGTTCTAATGTTCAGGTATATAGGAATACCCATGAAGTTTATGGGGTTTATTATATATTAAACATTAATGATTTGAAAGCTGAAGACCTCATAGAGAGCAATAGGGAAGCTGATATGTGTGTGACAGCATCACGTGGGTTCTCCAATGGTTCTGCATTGAGAAATCTGTGAATTTCCAAACATCATTATGCTGCCATAGAGCAAATGGAAATTGTTTTGATAGTAGCTGATATAAAACAGTAAAGCTCTGAGGGTGCATCTGTTATGATGCTAAAATAGATAAACTGTAATCAATTTATCTATTTTTTGTATTTTTTGCATGGTTTTATTATTACCTTTGAATTTGAAGTACTGTTTTTCTTACGATGCTAATTAATAACAAGTAATCATTCTGTTGTAATCTGATCAATTTTCAATCATATCACATTAAATGATATGTGGATGGTGACATCCTGCCCAAATTATTTTCAAAAATGTAATGAAAATGTAGTCTGTTTTGCCTGTAAGGACAAGACATGAAAAACAGCAATGTGCCTTGACTGATGGGAGACCTCCATCCATCCTCTCCCACTTATTCCATCAGGGTCATGCTGGTGCCTATCTCCAGCAGTCTACGGGCGAGAGACGGAGTACACCCTGTACAGGTCACCATTCTGTTGCAGGGCAACACAGAGACACACAGTGACACGCAACCGTGCACACACGTTCACACCTAAGGACTATTTAGAGATGCCAATTAACAGTCATGTTTTTGGACTGTGGGAGGAAGCTGGAGTACCCGGAGAGAACCCACACATGCACAGGAAAACCATGCAAATTCCATACAGAAACACCTCCAGCCAAAAATCAAACCCGGAACCTTATTGCTGCAAGGCAACAGTGCTTCTTTAAACTATGCAGTTAAATATTTCTAACAAGACTATAGAGAAGTTTGTCTGCTATAAATGAATCTAAGAGTACGATAATGAGTTTATGATTAACTCATCTACTACATTGAGTTCTGGATTTTGTTTTATTATTTCAAAACTCCTTCCTCTCTTGATATTGTGCTTCTGATCTTGTACAATGACTCTACTTCAGCAGCCCCAAGTGGATTATCACTGATTGATCTTGATTCTGGGCACTCATATGTTGCGTGAACTTAGCTCCTCTCTGCTTTGATCAAATACGATGCAATTTAAACACTCGACTAGACGCAATCGTTTTCTCCTGCTGATCAAACCCAGTTTCTGAAAACAGAACCCTCAGCAGATTTACCAAAGTTACCAAAATAGTTTGTTATGGCAGTGGACTTCATATTTAGTTTGTTTTGTATGCTTGGCCAAACAACCTATCATCTCTCTGTGTTTTCTATCTGTATTCACCCCCCACCATTGTTTCCCTTTCGTCCTCCCATGTAGGTCCATCTCTTGAAGGATCAGCTGAGCGCGGAGGCCACCGCTCGGCTGGAGGCCCAGGCTCGAGTTCATCAGCTGCTTCTCCAAAACAAAGACCTGCTGCAGCACATCTCCCTGCTGGTTAAACAGATCCAGGAGCTAGAATCCAAAATGGCTGGACCAAATTCCAGTGAGTTGATTTCTCATTAATTTAAAAGATTAATTATGATTGAGCTTATTCACATATGATAAATTTGTGTTCATTGGTATAAAATACATATACGGGCATAAAAAAAAAACATTAAACTGGAGAGAAACCTACTACTTCTACATTAACTCCCTATGTTTCAAATTTGTACATCTATAATAATAATGATAGTAAGATTGATAAAAATGATATTATTATACTTCATGCTCAGTTAAAGCAATGTTAACCGCATTGTGCCAAATGCTTAGAGGCCGTGATCACCTGGGAGTTGAAATTTTTTTATTAAATGAGCTCATCACATTTGACCACTAGAGGGCAGTCATAGGCTGGGGTCAAGAGGTTAAACTTACAGCCTTGATGGTATTTTTCATATTAAATATGGAAACAGAAAACGATACAGCGCTGTCATGGTAGAGGAACAGAATTGGGCTACGATGCTAATTCCCGGTAGTGTGCGGATCAGATTCACATGAATGTATTAAGACCAAATGGGTGCTTCATTTGTAGCTGACCAGTCCAAACATTTACCGCTTACATGCATCCAGTAACCAACACTATTATTTTACCCAAATATAACTGTAAAAGTCAATTGTAGAAATTGTGCCAAAATATTTAGCAAATTAAATGTAGAACAAAGTAAAGAATGAGTGCATGCATTCTCAGCACATATGTCCAGTTGTGTTTATGCTCAGAAAGATGGCAGTCCTCAGTAAAACTTTGCTGCTCTTTGAAGCCGCTGCACTTTATTGTGAGCCAGTGATTATGCTTCTTTATCTGCCTCTCAGCGTTCTGATTTTTTTTTGAGAGTCAACACACGTCTTTCTGCTGTTCATCTGTCGTGGCCCCCCTCTGTCCTCTCCAATGGGTCTTTTACAGCTTTGTGCATTTTAAAGCCTTTTCTTTGACTATTCAGACAGACAATCTTCTCAGGGCTACAGCAGCCCAGCCTGCCCTGCAAATGTCACCCTGCAGGAAACGATCTTTAATCTTATCAACAAATGTTTCAAATATGGACTCTTGCTTGTTCTTGCCTATGCAAGTTAAAGTTTTTAGCATGCTGCTCGGTCCCCTCTTGAAAACTTTCTGTAGACACGGAAAACGTTTTTGGACAACTAAAATGGAAAAGGTTGGAACTCGAAATTAATTCTCCACATTTACTTCGAAAAATCTGTAACTGCTCAGTTCTGTTTGTGGAAAGTGTTTAGATTTGGCATGCCTGGTGCAAGATGACCATTCAAAATTAAAAGGGGCACATCTTTCAGTGGCAATGCAACTCGCTTTCTCTGTGGTGTATTATGATTGACAAGCTTTTACTGAGCTAGTTATTTTCAGCGTTATTAGTCACACCTGTCATCTGCCTAAAATCCATGGACAGCATGACCAAGATGAAAGAAATTCTTATATTATCAGATTTTTTTTTAAGTATCCAATAACTCTTTTGGGGTTTAAATGGCTCTCTCTTCAAGAGGAATCAGAGTTTAAAGGCTTTAGAAGATGGTAGCTGTACATTCCAATCACGTCCATGGTCACAAATCCATCACCTAGACATGCAGGCAGATTAAAGCTCTTGTCTTTTTTGAAAAAATAAGCTGATCAGAACTTCAGTGTATTCATGAACAGTGCTGTGATTGGAGGCCACCTCAAAAATTTGGTCCAGGCATGTAATTTCCTAGCTCGTGAGTTTTCTTTTGTTATATGTTAATGGCATTATAACGCAGTAGAAAGGACGATGCATGACAGCAACTCTGGCATGAAGCAATAAGGTACAAGTATCTCAGGGCAGATGGAAGTAAGTCTGCAAAAGTTTGATATGTACAAACTTTACACTGCCTTCAGTTTAGCTAAAGAACATTTTGTGGCATGCTTACTTAAATGGATTACCATCAGGAAATTGATCTGAAATTGATTTGAAATTATTAAACTTCCTCACTTTCTTGCAAAGTGAATAAATAAGACAAACATATTATATAGATATACATATCTACATATATTTATATGTAGATATGTATGTCTACATATCTAGATATAGATATACATTTTAATTTTCTAATTAAACAATGCAAATATGCATGAGCATGAGTTGTTTTTTTCCTGTTGTTTAAGAACTGAGATTTGGAAAGCAATGTCTGCAAAGTGTTTTTTTTTTTTATTTGTGCCTTAAGTTTTATGTTAAGAAGATGCACAATTTCTTTAGAGCACCTTTGAGCTGGAGGTCAGTGCTGCCTGCCTTTTAACACGGCGGGTAAATGACTTCACTGAGGTCCAGCATGATGATGAAATACTGTGAAACACATTTACTTTCCTTGCTTTGTCAATGCCTCCAGATATTTATTTTGCTAGGATTTATATTGCTTCTTTTTCAACTGTTTTGGTTTATTGATGGCATATTTATGGAAATATATCTGATGGGAGAAAATGTTTCCTACTGTGGTATATTATTTAACTTGTTTATTCGGATCTTTGTTACACTCCATCCTTCTGTATTTTTTTTTAACTTTTTTACTTTTCTCCAGTGGGCTCCCAGGACAGCTTGTTGGAGATCACCTTCAGATCCACGGTACCTCCAGTGATTTGCGACGCCACCACACCCAAATCCGAAGTGTCGGATATCAACCTCTCTGCACTAAGCCCCGGTGATGCAACCAGCAACGCTTTTTCCTCTACCAACGGGACTTTTGGAAGCCCACTAGGTAGGGAACAGTGTCTGTTCAAACTGGATTGTTTCCGTTTCCTCCCAGGACCGCCGGGGCCTCCACCTCCTCGACTCCCTTCGCCTCCCCCGTTGCTCAAGCCTAACACATCCGTGACTCGAGGTCGAGATGTGCCTGATGCTCCGACAAGCATCTTATCCAGAGAAATGAAATCTTTGGACTGCCTGGAGTTCTCCAGGTTTCGCGAGTCGGGCATCGCTTCAGAGTACGAGTCGAACTCGGATGACAGCGATGATGGGGAGGATGAGGGGGAGGAAGAGGAGGATGATGAGATCGAGATCTTTGGTTGGGGAACAGATGAGGAGACATTGAGACTGCTTAATGCTCTCAACAGACAGGGAGCTCCTGACTGTCTGGGAGATGAAATAGCCGTTTGAAACTCTCTCTGTTTGGGCAGAAACTCACCTATTACTGACTCACATCAAAAGTTTCTGAGAGTTTGATTTGGTGGACTAACCTCTGTCAGGTTTACACAGATGTTTCTATGGACCTAATGTAGTTGTACCATCTAGATAAGGAATTTTGTGCTTTGTTTGTATCTGAGCTTCAGTGTTTAGGTTTGTTAACTTATTTTTTTAAACTATTATTCGTAACACTGTGAAATCCAACTTTACTTGTTATGCATCAAAGCTACTAATTAGTTTAGTTTACCTTGGTGTGTCATACCTCTCAGCAAAATAAATCGGATTTCTTATTTTTTTATTGTCTCCATTTAGAATTTTTTCTTGGTACTGCAACTCAAGGAATTTACCTCCCAGCAACCAATAGAATATTTTGTGATGGTTGTTTTTACTAGGTTAGAGCATCCTAGCATCAGCATGAATGTATTTGTAGTTTATAGCAAAAGCTGTAAAAAGCTAAACTACAAACCTTTCACACTGGCAGAAAAGCCTGTTTAAAGCCGAGAACAATCTGCTTTTAGTGGCAGTGGGAACAGCTCACTGACGCCTGTCTACCCTGGTCAAAAGACTCGAGTCAAACGACTTGGCAAGCAACCTGCGTTAAAATCGCCTCAGCTCTGATCAACATGCTGTGGGAACACCAGAGCGAGGTTGACACTCTAAATTGCGTGACGCCATTGAACGCATGTTTGGACGTCAACACACTGTGGCAGTTGCTTCTGATCTAACAAGTCGAAACAACTCAGTTTACATTAATTAAACATGGCGCAGCACTGATGAGAGGGATTCTGACGAATAGGAGTGAAACCACAAAGAATATTGATTACTCTCTGGCTCCCTTCAGTGAAAGGGTGGAGTCAAAGTAAAAAAGTGGATTTTGCTGGGAGTTGCAGGGAAGTGGGTTGCCATTCAGCTGTCGTTTGACTGGGAAGGGTCCTTTTGAACAACTGACGCTGTACTTTCCTGATTTCTGTCGCGCTGTCGACATTAACACTCACCCAGCGTGATGTCATCATTAGACACATCCCCAGTGGTGGGGGACAGCGACACACAGCTTGCCAGCAGTCGGGTCAAATGGGAAAAGAGTCAAAGCCGATTGTTAGAGAGTTAACCCAGTTTTGAAAAAACTAGAGTTTTCAGTGTGAAGCAGCTTTGGTTTGAGCACTTTGTTAAAGAAGCAGAAAAAAAAAAACTTCTCTTTTTCACTTTAGGTTGTGTGAGCAATGCAAAAGATAGAACGTGCTTTACTGGCTTTAAACAAACACCTTTTTTTTCTACCACAATCCTCACTCCACTTTTTATACGTTTATGTATATTTACTACTGTGATCTAATTAAGTTCTTCACATCTCTGGCAGGCAGATTACTGATGTGTAAATTACAGATTTATCTCACCAGCGAATATAACCCACCATTATTCCACCAAAGTGCTGCTCTGCCTTATTGATTTTGTGTTGCTTTATTGTTAAGGCTGATATTCTATCAGTGAGAGTCCTGTGCTAACACTGCAGTGAAGATACAGAAGATACAGTTGGGGTTAAAATCTAGTATTTTCCAGTTCTAGATATTTATATGTCTGGTTGAAGTGAGAAATTACTCAACAATCATGTGATATTGTTAAAATAAAAACCACAACATGTTCATGTTCAACTTAATAACTTTTTTTCTCCATAGTCTTGACTTAATATCTCCGCTTGGGTATGATCTGTTCCAATGACAGTTCTTTCCTTGTAGTTCATTCAGATTCAAATAGTGTTGACATATGCATTAAGCAACTTTAACCTGAGGGTCACTATTCTTTACCCTTTTTACATTGGTAATGTCATACATTTTAAAAATAGAACAGGCAAATTGTGAGATTTAAATTCTTAGATTGAGCTCTTGAGTTTCCCAGTTTCCCACTTTCTCCCAAGTGTCTTTGTTTTGAGCTGCGTTCAGGCCGGGCACATTTTCTGCATCAGAGCATGCAAAGATTTACATGCAAAGTATATGGGGGACGGTGTCAAGAGGTCTAGCGGCACGTTGGAGCATCGGGAGTGGGGCATACGAGCATTCTAGCTTTGAATCTTCTGAGTGTTCAGGCATCCGAGCGTTGGAGCACCCGAGTGTTTCAGAAAATTTTACTTTTGCTGCTGGACGCCGAAGCGTTAACCAATCAGAAAAGCTGATCCAGGAGTTTTTGGATGGAGATAGACACTACCTGCATGCTGTTACCGTTGCTCCAGAAATGTCTACATATGAAGAATAAATAAATATCAAGGGGGTAAACTCCAAAGGTTACAAAAAAGCCGGAAGAATGGATTTTTAAGAAGAAGGAACAGAGAGCGAGCTCTGATCATAATTGCTGCAGTAAAATATTTGTATTAACTATAGCAAAACAGTTTATAAATACACAAATTAATTAAAAATGTTAAAACATGCCAACGAAAGATATTTGATTATATTTTCTGGTATTTGGAGTTTTTACAACAAACCTTAAAAACTCTTTATATTCACTTCCATTTGCTACGAACGTCAGCGGAAAATCCCCCACAGGCTAGCCGCAGCAGAAAGCTTTCAGTAAGGATTTCCATGCTGCCGACCGGCGGTATGCTGGAGGTCTGGTGCTCCAAACAAGAACTACATATTTTAGTGGGATCTTAACATATAAAGCCAAGCTAAAGCTCAAAGCTACAGAACAGAGCAGATAAACAACCAGAGTGCAGAGCTCCAGAGCCTCAAAGCGTCAGAGCAACTTGACCAGTGTCTGACCCAGTGTCCAAATTTTGCCGTTTAGGTGGTTTTAATGTGAAGAAAAGTTTTGTTTTGAACGCAGCATTAAAGTGCACTGTAGTTTTTAAAGTGCAGCAATCCTAAAACCTCTGGACCTTAAGAAAACATGATTATGTATGTATTAGGCTGCTGCTTTTATTGACGAACCAAAATTAGACTTTATTTGAGATTTATGACCATGAAGGAAGCTTTCATGGTATGTTGGCATGTTGTCAAAACCATCCAGTATCATAGAACAGCCTGTGAATTTGAATATGGGGAAAAAAATTGCTGCATTTAAGATATAGCATTATTTAAAAGCTGCAGGCAGCCATCAGGTGAGACTAACTTGAGTCGCGCGTGGGAGAAAACAGCCCCGTCTCTTATTGTACTTGAGTCGGTACATTAACTCTATAAATGAATTCTCAACAAAAGAGGCAGACTGAGTGAAGCTTTTAGTTGAGCACTTCATCATCTCTCAAGGTTCCCATTTCAGAGTTTCCCTAAAACCTGAAACATCCAAAAGGTGAGATGTAAACATTCATTTCTGAATATGGCGTTTTAGAACCAAGACATGAAATAAGAGTCTTCAGAGACAGTCTCATATTTGCAGGAAATGCTGTTTAAAAACAGTGAGCTGAAATATTTGACCCTAGAGAGACAATCTTTCTGTCAACACAAGCATATTTTCTAGGTTTCTAAGATCTATCTTAGTAATTTCCTTCTTTCATTGCCCGGCCTTTTAGATTGCTTTCTTTAAAGCTCCCCTCTGTGCGTCAGACACACTGACATGACTCTTAACTACAATGCAGTAGCTGAGCTCTAAATATGGTACTTTCTTTTTTTCAACAGATGGTATCTTTTTGGTATCAGTGCAAGGCGTTGCAATTGACAAAGACTCCATGATGGAAGTCGAAAGATTTCAGAAAAACTTAGCAAATGTCCTTTTGCCTCAGATTTAAACCTGTTTTTGGGATTTCAATATACAAACCTGTTTCCTTTTTTCTTCTGTCTCTTGTTAAGAAGATATTGGGAGAATATGAAATCAGATAATTGCTAAACTTGTCAGGCATTTGATTTCTACCTGCAAAATAAAAAAAAGATTCAGGTTAATTTAAGAATAAAACCTGTTCGCTCTGAAAGTTGGTACAGCAGGGTTATAAAATGGAGTCTCTTCCTCTTGCTAAAGTGAAAACAGCTCGTTTTGTCATGAAATTAATAAATAATGAGTGCGATTAAATTAAGACCATTGTTAAAATCTGTTTTCCGAAGAAGTAGAATCTTTGTCTATTTGTAATTGTTGGCCAAGTCTCAATAGAAATGTGCATCTTTATGTAGAAAATCTTCTTTCTGCTCCATCCCACTAAACCTTTCAACTATTCTGTTTGCCTTTTTGTTTGCTTTCTCTCTCCCTCCGCAGATTCTTCCCTTTCAGTTGTCCACACTTCCCCCTTCTTTTGTAATTCATGCAAAGCTGGCATTAGCTGGAGTCAAAGACCACTGCTTGTTTGTTTCATTCATTCAACATGAAAACAAAAACAAATGAAACTCCCCAATTGTTGCTCACAAATACAAGATATTGTCTCTTTTGTTTACATCCAGCTCTGGGTAAAGCCTAGTGGCACAAAGGGTTATTAAAGTATTAATTTTCATTCATGCCAAAAGCTAAAAAGTTTTCATTTTTGGCTCTGATGATGAATGCTGGAGTATTTGGCAATTCGAAACTCAACTGAGACTTAAAGCAGGGTTGAGCAAAATCTCAAAGTGCTTAACGTCATTATCACAGAGCTTTAGCCTGATATGATCAAAGCAGCCAGTATGATTCCAG